CACATTTTCTTGAGAATCCTCAATTTGCTCGACTAAGGGGACTTCGTCCATATCGTCTTCGCTAGTCTCTTCATCGTCTATTTCTTCTTCTTCGTTCAAGTCTAAAACTGACGGTCTCTCATATAATCGCAGTAGTTCATGACGAAACCAAACGAAACGAGGTAAAATTTTCGAAGCTTGAACGCCTTCTATCATTATTGACTGATTGCTAGACAAGAGCAAACAATCTTTGAGTAATTTGTCGAAACAAGACAAGCAGCAGCATTCTTCATTTGAATTGCAAGTTAGTTTTGAAATACTGGCATCACCATGCAGTGTTTGCAAAATTAAGACGCGTATATCTTCTCTAAATTCTGCTGGTAAAGCGTAAACGTCATATATTAAGTCAGCAGTGATATTCGTTTCAAACCACGGACCTATTTGATATTTGTAGGTTCTAGGTTTAGCTGTATTATTTTGCTGCACAGCTTCCACGGGCTGACTCATTGAATGGTATGCAAGTACTTAATGTGTGAAAATCATCTACAACGCAAAACGACAGTCAATGTTTTTATGGGTATTTACATTCATTAATCGTTCAAAAAAAAATTAATTCAAATAATACCGATTATTATTGATTATAATGAGACCTAGCTGTGAGACAATTGCACAAACTAACACGTAGTTACAACGTCGTTTAATAAATGAAAGTGATAGAAAAAGCTTATAAAGCGGGTATAACGTTAGTAAAACTCGCAGATTCAAGTAGAGAATCGTTCATGAAACGGCTTGGAAAGCTAGATATTAGCTAAAATGTGTTAATTAAATTTAAATCAAACTGCACAAGTTTTTAGTTTTTAGCTAGAAAAAAATACGTTGCTGCAGCAATAATCTGCCTCGAGCAAGTGCAAAGTAAAACTGAAATAAATTAGCAAAGGTTTTGAAATTTTATTTATTATGTTATTTTTATTCTTCATTTTCCTCGAATTCGATTTCATCGTCTTCTGAATTTTCGCTATCGTCATCTTCTTGGTCGCTAATACACGCGGTAATGTGATACAATCTTTGTTTGGAACGAACATACGTACAGCAATCAGCCGGGAGCGATTCAGCCCATTCCTCTAACGAAGAATACCCCAGCATTTCAGCTGAAAAGTTGAATATCTTGGCAGCCTCGAAAGCCTTAGCTATTTCGTCTAGGTAAAGCTTAAAGTTGTTTTTAAATAGTAATTTTGGTAAAACCCCGATGATGAAGTCTCGTTTCTTTTCAAACTCGTTGCTGTTGTCTGACTCTTTCTGACGTCTTACCTGTTCTGCTTCAGCGTCTCCTTCGTTCTCTAGCACCATGTTATTATGAGAGTTTTTCCAAGCTTTTTTCTCTTTGTTGCTCTTTTCATCAGACCTGTGACGAGCTTTTTGAGCTTTTTGTTTAATCAGTAGATCTTCGGCTAGTTTTTCAGTTTCGCCCTGCATACAGCGTTTTTCTGAAATCGATTTTTCGTTCATGGCTAAGATAGCGTCGACTGAAGTATACAGCCTTGTTAACAACTGTTCACGGTTTCCTGAGCTAGATAAATTTCGAATTTCACATTCCTTTCTTAATGCAGTGACACTCAAACCGTTAAAATCGATTACCTGATCTGTAGTTGAAGCGATTGCTGTGTCCGATCCGTGTTCTTCCTGGTTGTGTTTTGCTTTGGTGACAATTTCGTTTTTTTTGTCGAATTCTTCGAGTTCTTTTAAATGAGTTGCTTTTAATTCAGCTAGTTTTTCTTCACATTGAACGCGTACTTTGTCTGGAAGGCGACCTTTTTGCAGTTGTTTTTCTAATGGTCGTACAGCTGATTTAAATTTATTTACAAGTTGAGAACGTTCTGTATGAATATCCATGAAAGTTTGTTTCTGGACGATAGGTAAATGAATAATTTAAAAATTTCTTATTAATTAAAGAATTAATCCAATTTCTGATAATATATTTAAAATTATGACGGTTGCCCAGACTTAGTCATACCGTTTTACTCGTTGCACCATGACTTCAAGTTATGGTTCTAACTAAGACAGATGAATATTTTTCAAAAAATGTTTTTGAACGATTACTAGAAAAAAAAAGTACTGCAATTTATCGTGACGCAACAAAAACTCAAAATTCCGACGTTGAAAGCCTAAAGAAAAAATCATGGATTTCTAATTATAAGTCGCCCGTTATGTATGGGACTTTAGGAATGCAGTTGTACGGGATTCAAGTAGTTAGCCCAAAAACTATTTTAATATTTAGAAATGCAGACTGCACACACAGAGGCAAACAATTCTTAATCCCTGAATCTTTTACTTCTTTGAAGGTTTTTTTGCGGCTTGTATCTGAAAAGCTTTCATTGTTCGGTGGTCCTTGCAGAGCTCTATATAACCGTGAATTTGTAAAAATTACTTCGATGGATCAACTAATAGATCAAGAATATTATCTCGCCACAAGCGGCGAAAATCCAATAGAGATTGAGCAGTTTCGACGATCAGCGTATTTTACAACTTAGGCTCGTTATATAAATTTACTTTATTTTTCAAGTTCTTAAGCGAACTGTAAATCATAGAAAATTTTTTTTTGAGCCTAAATGTAAATTAATTACTAATTTATGCTGAATTAGTAAATAATTAAAATTGGTATTTTGATGGAAGTGAAGTGATATGCATTTATTGTACAAAACTTTATTCTAAATAGAAACTTGGATAATATTTAAATTTTTCAAGAAGAGAATGGGATTGTTTTGAGTTGAAATTGCGTATTTTATGTTATTTAATCCTTGGTGTATTACGAAAAACGCTGGCAGTACAGAAGATAATAAAGTAAACATAAAAAATTCTTTTTTAAGATCAGATTTAGAAATTTTACAGGATTTATTACCAAAATTTATCAGTAGTTGTGTTGAGTATTTAAACTACGAAGCTAAAAATTATCTCGAGTTAGAAGCAAAGTTTAATGTTGACGTCAACTATATTACTGAACTAGTTAAATCGACACATTGCAAGATCAATAAGCCGGAAAACGGTCTTCACTCAGAAGAAAATTCGACAAATGATGTCAATAACGAAGCCCCTACCGGTTCTGACACCTTCGTTGCGCAGTACAGCGACACGGGGTTTATTGACGAAAAATTGTATGGAATTTATTCGAAATCATTTCCAGGCATAAACTTAATTAACGAATGCGGAGAGCTAGCGGTTCTTTATCCCATTCAACGCTCGTTAATCTCAGACATATTCGCAAGTCTCCCATTGTCTGACGACCCTGTGACACAAAGGGCTCGTAAAATTGTCGAAAAGTGGATCTGCGAAGTTTACGGACAAGAAAATAGTGACACGCGCGTAGGAGAAGGTGTGGAATGCAATTACTGCAACCGTCTGATCAATATTTATAGTGTTAGAATGAGGTGTTTGGAATGCGCAGACTACGATATTTGCGAAAGATGTATGTTAACTGCAGCAGAGTCGCAAGGACATAAAATATCTCATATATTTTTTTTAGTTTACTTAGGTCGTAAAAGGTTATTTCCAGGAAATTGGAGCGCGTCAGAAGATATCGTTTTGCTTGAAGCTTTAGGAAAATACGGTTTAGGAAACTGGGGCGAAATAAAAACCTGGATAACGCAGGTAACGCCGCCAGAGCTACCTATCAAGACGAAAGAGGAATGTGAAGCACGTTATTACGAGTTAGATTCTTTGTGTAACTTTGATAAGACTAAGCCATGCCGCGACTTTCTGTATAAATACGGATACGAGGCCTTGGAAGCTCGCTTAAATATTCTCAAGAATAATGACCCAAACATAGGCGTACCAGACTATACGCCTATTTATAATGATTTAGGTTTTGACGTCGTGCGATCTTCCAAATTTAGACCCGTAGTCGAGGAGGTGCCCCTGCCTGTATTTCTTGATGAAAAAAAAAATAAGGATTCGCTTTCTGGTGCGTTTGAATTTAGCAAAAAAGCGGACTCTGCAGTAATTGAGTCAGTTTATTCAAGTTCCAATGTGATTTCTTTCCAGAAATATGTGTCTTACTTCACTGAAGGCTTAACCGAGGAAGAACTTGAGGAGTATGAGTTGCCCGAGCCTCCTCGGCATTTGAAGTACCAAGCGATGTATCCGCCAAACGTGCAGAACCTAAAAGTGTCTATCTCCGGATTTATGGCATACCGTGGAGACTTGGACGTTGAATGGAAAAACAACGCGGAACTTAATGTGTGTGACTTAGTATTTTTTCCGACTGACTCACCTTTAGAAAGACAAGCAAAATTTTTAGCGTTAGAAGCCTACAATTGCATTTTAGACGAGCGTTGGTGTCGAAAACAGCTTTATATCACGCGTAAGCTATGGGAACAGAAGTCCAGGAGCAGCACAGATTCTTCCGAGACTTTCTCGCCTCTAAATCTATTTTATCGTGCAACGCTGCCAAACTATACTTATTATGAAAGTTGCTTATTTTTGAAAAACCGCGATGTCATTCAAGTTTTCATTCCTTACGGCAAGGAGTTGTTGGGGTCTGATTTAGAGCGGCTAGCTTCGTTATTTACCAGTCATCTGACGATTGAGCGCAAGCTCAAATTACTTACTGACTGGAACGGCGCGGGCTTGGATACACTTTATAGTGTAGTCACAAATGGAATTAGCGTACTGCAAAACAATTCGTCTAACCACACTATTTCCATGCCATTAATGCTGGATTTAGATGGCTGTAACGATATTGACGAATGGTTCGTAAAAATCTTGTCAGACTGCAATATCGATCCTGTCTCGTTTATGAATGAGCTCCGAGAGCACATCAAGTCGATGCCCGAAGAAGCTGGCGCCACAAACTCCATCAGCACGTTTCAGCCCACAAACTCAAAGGTTTCTTCTTAATGGCATTTATAAATGCATTAGGTAAGTGCGACTTTAAATTATGCACAAGTTGTTGGCATGTTTATATATAAATTGCATAAATAGACTACACTATAAAATTAAACGAAAAACTGTCTAGAGTAAATTTAAATTTAATCATTCTGCTTGAGCGAACGAGAACCTCTGATAAGACCAGTTCGGCGGGCAGCAATGAGACCAACCTTTTGTCCTGGTGGGGCGTGTCTGCTTACAGTGGAAGCGTGACCAATGTGTTGGTGGTTACCACCTCCATGTGGGTGATCAACAGGGTTCATGGCTACACCACGTACACGCGGCCATACAGCTCCTCTCTTGGCCTTGTGCTTGTAGTAAGAAGTACCGGCCTTGAGAATGGGCTTGTCAGCGACACCACCTCCGGCGACGATACCAGCTTGCGCGCGGCACTCGGATTTAAGCGTTTTCTTGATTCCGGATGGGAGTCGGATTCTAGTCTTAGTCTTGTCTGGTGACTGCCCGATGACGATGGCGTAAGAACCGCTTACGCGGGCAATGCTGCCACGATCTCCAGCACTTCTTTCGATGTTGCAGATGATGCTACCTTCTGGGAATTTGGAGAGAGGCATGATGTTGCCGACATCAAGCTTGGCTTTGGAACCGCAGTATATTTGCTGGCCAGTGTACATACCTTCGGAGGCAATGAATAGTTCGGTTTGCTTGCCATGATTAACTGTGTTTCTGAACTCTATCTTGGCTAAAGGGGCAGTACGACCGCTGTCGTGCATTATGTCAACAACAGTTCCGCGAATGTACCCCTTTCTTTCGATGCTATCCAAAACTCGGAGTTTGGCGGCGCCTTGTCTTTTGCAGGTTGAAGCTCGAAAAATAGAGCCTGCTCCAATTCTTTGTCCCCTGATTACACGACCCATTTTGTATTTAGTAGGAAAGACGAAATAAAAATATATTCAAATTTTCAAATACGTTACGTCGAAAATAATTTGAAACTAATTATTATATTATTCAAACACCCTCTTTTTTGCCTCTTAACGCTTTTCATGTACTGTGTCAAGCTCACACAAGTCCGCAGCTCTGGCTAACTTTCTTTGTGTTAATTTTTAGACATAAAATTTTTGTTTAAATTTATTAGATAAAGAGTGATTTAACAACAAAATTATTGACATTTCGATTCAAAAAATACACAATGTAGAATTTAATAAACATGTATATAACATTGATCAATCAAAACGTTTAAATTTCGCCAATCAATTCGCATTTTCCGCCGGCAGCCTCGATTCTTTCACGGGCTAACTTGGAAAATTGACGAGCGCGGACGACCATAGCGCGGTCAAGCTCGACACCCTTACCGAGAACTTTGAAGTAACCAGCCTTAGTGACATCGATGACTGGCATTGAGTTGCTGTTGACGATCTTCGCTTGTTCTTCTTTAGTGAGGAGGCTAAAGATTTGTTCGACGTTGATGCTGGAGGTGAAGTGCCTGGAATGAACACGGTTGAATTGTCTCATTCCGTGCTTACCAATGTATCCTGGGTGGTATTTGGTGATGTTGATACGGTGGTGGTGTTGAGGACCGGCGTTACCACGACCTCCGGGATGCTTTCTGTGTTTACCAACACGTCCGTGACCAGCAGAAACGTGTCCTCTTTTACTACGGTTCTTGTGTAGTCTAGTAGGCATTTTTTAATTAAATAAATTTTTGAATCCAGGTATTAATTGTATTAACGACAAAACAAGATTTTCTAGTGCGCCGTTATATCTTGTGTATAATACAGCGATATTTTGTTTTTTAGGGAAACTGTCTATTTTCCGCTCGTTAACTGTCTAAAACGTTTATTTCAACGTTATTCGATGCACGCGTAATGAATTTGTCGTGACTTTTTTTTCTATCAGCCAGGACAAAGCTTTATTTTGTATAAGCCTAGCATATCGCTGTCTTTTACAAGCAAGTTTACTTTATTTTTAGACTTTTTTTTTGCCAAGTTTATTCTTCTAATTAACCCTTTGATTTTCAACTTTATCGATTCAAAAATAAAACGCAGAGAAATTTTTTTCTCTTGTGGTTTACGTTTACGTATCAGTTTTTTTTGTGTATTCATGTTTAAGATTTTGGCGAAGTTTTTACGATCAGCTGTTTTTTTCGACAAACTCACATTTTTTAAATGTTGGTTTTCGCTTGCTATCAATTCGTTAATATTTTGCAGTCTTTCCAGTTTGTAGTGCAATATTCGTATGTAACGTCCGCAGTAAGAACTAATTCGATTATCTATCCTCTTACAAGCACACCACCGTTTTTCAGGTGCTGAGAAATTGTTCAAAGCCAGCTGCTGCTCTTTAGTCCACGACTTAAGAAAAATATTTTTTGATTCCGCCGATCGATTTTTGTTGCATCTAGTTGAACAAGTTTCTTCTGAAGTAGATGCTTCATTTATTTCTTCGGTAGAAGTGTTGAATTTTGCGTCCGACGGCAAATAAATATCAGACTCTTTGTTCTTCGTATGTATATCTCTTTGTTTTAGCTTTCGATTGCGTAACCCCGTATTTAAATGGCTTGAGGGCCATAGTTTACATAAAAACAAGTAGTCTTTGTAATTGACTTTTTTTAACAGCTTCGTTCTCAAGTATTTTTCGTACTGTTTACTTTTGAAACCCGTAAAGACAGGTCTTGGTGTATACCGACGCTTTTTAAGTTGTTTGGAAGTGATTTTCAGTTTAAAATGGGAAAGAAGACGTGCTCTTTCTTGCAAGTATAAGTTTCGAATATGCCTCTGTCGTTCAAAACAAAGTCGCAGACTTTTTTGAATAATAATAATGCTACGTATTTTCTTCTTAAACAACTTACGTTGAAAGTTAACTTTAAGCCAGTTTTGTAAAATAAATGCATTATAGTTTTGAAACATATCGTAGTAATTCTTGAGATGAGAATATTGAGCAGTTGATAAAAAAAGCATATTCTCGCCTTTAATAAGATTTTTGGTTATTAATGCATATCCCTGTTCGGAAGTAGAAAAGACAGTGCTACAAAGCCAGGTTTTCACATCTTGCAAGGATAGATTTTCTTTGGACGTTGCAAGCTGGTTGCAAATTTTAGGAACAAAAGAGTAGTAGTAGTAGAAAAAAGCCATCAGCGTTAACTTGTAAGGATACCCGTTTAACTTTATCCTAAGTGTCTGACCGATTTGGTATTGATTCAATTTTTCGAGTAGCTGTATATAAGCTTTTTCAGAATAATTTTCATTAACTGCACAGAATTCGAAAATGTAAAACCATGAGTATTTGGTGCTAGTCGAAATCAAAGGTGTTTTTTTCTCAGTTTCATTTGGTGATAATTCCAGTAGATAATTTTTGAGGTAATCAGAACTAAAACTTGTACTACTATAATAAAAAAAAACTGCCAACAATAATCTGTGTTCCAATGTAGTTATCCGGTGGCTGAAAACTTTTTCATAAATCGTATTCAGATCAAATCTTTCGTTTTGGGTTTCTCTAAAAAGACTTGGTGACGAAAGCTTTTTACAGTGTTCATCAGAAAGCTTTTCACTGTTGTAAATGTTTATTTCATTTTCTAGTGGAGAGACGTAAAGATGGGAACTTGATTCGTTTACAATGTTTTCTTCGTTCAATGTTCTAAAAATAACGTTGAAGTCAAATTCAGCATTAATAAATAAAGATTGATTGTCAGGTTTCATAACGCTGCTAAAAACTAAATGATCGGAAAATTCTGAAGCATTGTGCATTTGCAAACTGATACATAATAGATTGTTTACTGATTGTATTAGTGTATCGTATAATAAATACTCGCAAAAATTCATAAATCTAATAAGATAATTCTTGGAATATTTTAACAAGATCTCTTTGTTGAGCAGACTACAACGACGTTCTTTATTGTTCATTTGCAAAGCAAACGGAATTAAGAAACAAACAAGATCTAAAGATTTATCAGAGTCCAAATTTTTATCATTTAAAAGTTCAGCACAATGCTGAAAAATTCTAACAGCAAAAAATGAATAGAGTATTTCTGCTATTATGTCAAAATTGATATGGAGTAGTTTTAATCGCGTGATCAAAAATAGCAACTCATCAGTGTTTGCTAAATCTGTAACAATAAAAGTATCCAATTTTTTTTTGGCATCATCTTCTTTTTCAAAGATCATAGATCGAACAATATTATAAATGTTTAGCTTTAATAGCGTTTCAAATGTAGCTGTACTTTCAGATGACTCAAATTTGACAAGTATTTTTTTGTACGTTTCGATCAAATCATTTTTTTTAACTGAGAACTGATCAGATTTTTGCACTTGATTGAACTTTACCAGGTTAATATTTTTTGTGTCAGTTAAACCAGCTTTAACTGATAAATATAAAAAGTAATCAATCGTATTCATCAAATCAAGATCAATTTGTAAAAGACTTGATTGTTCTGTAAACATGCTAGGTAAAACGATTAGGGAGAAAAAATCAGTGATCGCTAATTTTCCGTTTGAATATTTGAGCGAAAAATTTTCATCGATACCATACAATGCACATTTATCGTTTTTTTTTCGGACACCTGCCATTTTGTAAAGAACCTGATTTATCATATACGATCTCTCAAACAATTTTATAGTATTTTTTTGAATTGCCAAATTACAACCACGCATATTGATATATTCATTGAAAAATATAATTTTGAGATGATAAGAGCAATCTAAAGTTGTTTTACTAAGTCTATTGATACAAAATATTATTGTATTACCAGATTTTAAAAAGAACTGAGAAAATATTTTAGTTGCTAGGTCTTTTAACAACATGGACAAGTTTTCGTCTTCTTGAAGATTGCAACTAGGATTTTTCTTAGAATAAATTAATAATACATTGTGTACAATTGAGATACAAGAATTTTTCGAATTATTTTGAGAATCTCCATTGATAAATCTATTGCAAAGGTACGAGAGAAAAGTATGTTCAAGTTCATTTTTGTAGGTCTTTTTTTTTTTGATGTTATTTCCGTTTTTCATTGATAGTGCTGGTTAAGATATTGTTGAACAGCTTGTGCTGATACATTGTGTCTGAGATCAGTATAATATTTGCTCAATATTGCATAATAATTCATAATTATTTTAGAAATAGGGGAATTTCATGGTGTGCGACGATGTTAAATTTCAGTTCTAATACTGAAGCATTATTTGCAGCGATTTAAGTCGTTTACTTGACAAAGTGTACCTATAAAATAGATTTAATAAATTTCTATTATTAATATCGTAATTTTTGTATTTCCAAGTTCAATGCAAAACCAAAATCATAGAAAATTTGGGTGTTGTACGACGTTTCAAAAGAAAAATTGTGTCTTTAATTATTCTGTATCACGATGTCTTTAAACGCAGATAAAGACCAGACAGAGTTTTCTGCTAAAGTTGATAATTTAGCTAGCGTAGCAACTGTGTTTTCCAAGAACAGAATAAATATCCATTTAACGTTTGCGCCTGAGTCAATGGAGCACACAAAGTCATTGTGGAAGAATTTTTTTCTCCCGTTGGTTGATGAATTTCAATATTTAGGAGGTAAAAACTTGGATACTGCAACTGAAGATATTGAATTTATAATTTGGTACGCCCATTTAGTCAAGAGAATCAGGCAGTTTTTGCAATTATCTTTAGAATCAAAGGAAGCAGTAGACGTGCTGCTCCGCCGTGTTTCTAACTATATTAAAAAAATGAAACTAGATTGGCTTGATCAGTGGAAAGTAATTCATGAAAATTGGAAAAATGAACAAACTGAATTCGCTGCAATAGCTGAACAAGAAGCGCGAAAAAAACGATTGAGACGATTAGAAATGCTGAAAAAAAAAGAGAAATAATTTATATGCGCAATAAACAATTTTAACTCACAAAATTCATTGCTAGGTTATGAATAAAAAATAAGTATTTTGTTTAAT